ATATTTTTGTTTATCAATAATCTAATTTTCTGCCCAGAAAATATTATTCTTTCTTGTAGTGTTTGAAGCTGGATCATAGCTGGGACACCTATTGTTAGCCGGGCCAGGCTGGGCTCCTACTGTTAGCCGGGCCAGGCTTTCTTCATTTCCTGGTCTCCTTCGATCATGTCAATATCCAGGTTCTAAAGTTCAGAAGAATGCAAATCAAGGGTAACTTTCCTTTATTTACCATTAGCATTTTCTACCAATATCTAGATATGCTTTACGGTTCTTTCTTTTATAAGCTTCACATGTCTAATTATGAATGACTATACTGAAGCAATTCTATATTTGTTCTTCCGGCCGAATGTGTCTCAAGATAAACCAGGGAACGGATTCATAAGAGTGAACCGAATAAGACACAGATTCATAAGAGTGAAACAAATTGAAGTAAATAGTGAAATGAATAGTTGGAGGAACGGATTTTAAATGTGAAGATTATTTGGGGATGATATATGAAATATGCTGTAAGAACTTAATCTAATCTGTTTACTCACCAAACTGGTCTTCTTCATTTGTACTCTTTAATCCTTCTTCCCCTCCTACATCCATCTCAACATCTTCAATTCCACCCCATTCTTCTGTTTCTTGTTCTTCTGATTGATGTCCTTCTTCATTAACGACTTCCGCTTGCTTCCTCTCCGTCTTCTTCTTCTTTTGTTGCTTTCCGACTCCTCTAGATCTCTTTATCCCAATCGGTCTTTGGCTTCGTTTCGGAATTCCAATTCCTTGAAGGTTTCTCGGCTTAGATCCATTGCTCCTGTCCGCGGTAATTCTTCCAGTTGCACCTCGTTTTGGAGTCAGAAGTCTTGAGCTTGGTTGTATTCCTTTCGCTTCTGCCTCTGCTCTTGTCAAAACCCTGATCTTCGACTTGATTATTTTGTTCTCCATCCTGTGTATCTCGTTTCCTCCTGTTGGAGTATCTAGCGCTTGTTCCAGATTTGGTTCTGTCTGATCTTGATTCAGTTGATTATTAGTCTGATCTAACATTCCTTGAAATGACATTGTTTATTAATTTTTGACAAATTATAATTTGAATGTTTTGGTTTTGATTCGAATATGTTCCTTCTTAAGATCTAAAAAATAACACCACCAAAAGATTTGAATCAAGTCTTGGAAGCTTGAGTAGAATACTTTGAGTAGTAGCTGTCGAGGAATCCTTTACGAAGTTTGGGAAATTTTTATCCTATTTCCCAAAACCAAATTTTTATCCTATTTCCCAAAACCAAATTTGTAACGAGATTTGTAACATGTGTGTTACATGTCACCTAGTGATCTGCAGCTAGTGGACACGCGCACCAATACGTACCTTTTTTTTGGTCCCACATATGATATCATGGCAGTCTTTCTTGTTTGTAAACCCTCCTCCTCTTTGCTCGAATTGAAGGACATGCAAGGAATCATGTGTCTTTGTCTTTTGCTTGCAAGACATTGGAAAGACATTCCAATTCTTTCTCCATGTTCCTTGCTAAAGTGGCAATCTTTCGACTTTGCATCCCATTCCGCTGACTTCTCATGATGGGTTCCTAAAGAGGCAAATTTGTGAGAACGCGCGCAAGACGCGTTCGCCAACTGATGCATGGCCACCAGAGGCTAAGACGCAACGACCAATTGGGGATTGCCTTGAGCCTCTGGCTTCCCAGGGGTCATGAAAAGTTTTGTGCCGTCAGGCGAAACATAAGCAGCTTGCTTGTCTCCTCATTAAACCACTTCCTCGGGAACTCTCAATTTGCTCTCTCACCAGTCTTTTTTCATTACAAACCTTTTGTTGCAATCAATGACAATGTCTTCTCAGTCCAATCGTGCTCAACCATACTCATTAACCAGCCCAAGGGGTACAAGTAAGTCTTCCTTTGTTTCTATGTGCACCCTTCTCAAGTCTTTCAAACTCAACCTTCCCTTTCTTTAGAAAACCCTGGTGTTGGGTCCTCAGCTTCGAACCGCGCTGAACAGAGATCAATCCGTGGTCAAGGATCGATGAGACTGCCAATCCCTAATGACAGTGCAAGTTTCAATGCTTTTTCTTCTCAAAGCCCTCTTTGGTGTCATAATTCATGATGATGTCTTGATCTAGTAGACCAACGACACCAGTGACCCTTTGACCGATCTGATCTTGGCTGCCATCAGCCGCTTAGGTCCAAAGATGGAGCAAGAGATGTTGGTTCTCTCTGGTAATTTACTCAAGATCGACAAAGACATTACCTCCTTGTCTAACAAGATGGAGCCGGATATGAATTTGATTGCCGACAAGATCGATCAGGACCTCATCACTTTATCCAACAAACTGGATCAAGTCAATGAGACAGTTGACAATCTCACTTCTCATCAGCCTGGTAATGGATCTCATGGTCCTCCCGCCGCTGTCACAGGAGTCCCGGCCCCAGCAACCCCCGGACCCTGGAAGTACACCCCCAAGCTGAAAGTGAGTTGGATCTTTTCGGCCATCTCCCTACATAGTCTGTTTCCTCAATCCTTGTCTTTATCTCTCTCAACACTCTCCTATTAGGCAAAGGTGTATGCTATTGCATACAAATTGGTTGCACTGCCGACCATCGGCGCTTATACCGCGCTTGAAACCCCAGCTGGAGACTTAATCATGAACTCCCTGTTCAGCACAGTTAAGGTACGAAAGTGTCTCTTCAGATTATGTTTTTTTTTCTAATCATCAATCAGTTGCACTACAGAAACAATCAAGGACATCCCAGTTACTTGGGCTACCAAACAACTTCCTCCAGTCGTCAATGGAGCCCAGGATGTTGGGGCCATCCAAAGGTAGGCGTCCTTGGTTAAGGATGCTGGCAAACACGCCTGAGAGCGTTTGCACATCTTGGTCAGTCGATCTCTCACATCTCAACTGTCTATTGATTTCTCTTTGGCTTATCATCCTGATGCTACACAGGTGTTGCACAATATTAAATACAACCCTGAAGCCACCGTTCCATGCCTCAAAAAGCTCCTGCATCGTGTAAGTATTGCGCTTTGCTAGAATTAGCTTCAATAATTTCGCCTGAACGCTAACGTTTTCCCCTTTTAACCTCTGTGTAGATCGCCAGAAAATGTGGAGATAAAGCCGACGGCCTTGACGTCCAGGCCTATTGGGCCCAAACGTCTTTGGAACTACGCCTCCGGATTGCCTACCTTGTAAGATGCTAAGCCTTTTTCATTCTTTACATACCTGATTGCTGACAAGCTAAGCTCGTGTTTCACCAGCGACACAAGGCTGTACGCATTTTCCAATTGCTTCGAAAAGGCGGAGGTAGAGGAAATATCTGGGCGCGGGTGGACCAACAGCTGAACCATTTGGATGATCTAGGCCCCTTATACAGTTCCGCCTACCTCCCGCAATTATTGACCAAAAAGCTTTCAAAAAGACACTCATTTTGATTTCCTCTTCAGCTTTTACAACTTGATATACCATCAAGATCGTGCAACCTTTAATGGCAAAGGGCACTTCGTTAACATTGACACTGCGGAAACTTTCGATCTGCCGTCTGATGAGGAGGTCCACAAGGAGATGGATTGTTGGGAACAAGCAGGAGGTGTCATGGTTCTGCAGGACTAATTGACCATAATCATTGGGTGAATGTGAATATTTGGATTTCCAATTGGTTTTGTTTCATTCCTGTCAAGCGATCAAAGTTGTACAAAGATCTATTAGATCTATTTGCCTTTCAAAGGCCTTCTCTCTCTGTTCCTCCAAATCTTTGGAACCCCCTTCTGCAAAATGTACAGGATTTCATGTCTATGGCTCTCAGTTGTCATGATTTTGAATGAACCTGTCCTAACCTGTCTGACCGCGCCGCATCTGCCAATTTCGTTTTTTGGTGCGATTTGACCAATTTTATTTATTTCACCCCAAATAAAAAAAACCTCAAAGACGGTCTACAGGCCATGTACGGGCGCTCTTGCCTGCCAAAAAACGGCACCCCAGCCCTTGTGAACCACTGGATTTTTGCCTTCAGGTCTGGTTGAGGGGCGCCCATGTGTCAGAGTTTAGATGTCACGATTTGGGCGAGCCAGTGACGGCCCTTCACTGCGGAGGGACAGGCAGTCCCGGGGCGGCCGGAAATGTCAATCCGCAGACCGCCAGGACCCCCCCGTGGTGTAGCCGGTCGGCTAACCCAAACTTTGATGGTCCTACCTCACCTGAAATGCCACTGTTTAGACATCTACCACTGGATGGCCAAATGGCATAATAAGTTCGCAAAACAAGAAATCCCAGAAGGAGTCCACTTAGACCTGAACATCGGGGCCAAAGCGCTGACCCTACCTTCACCAAGACAAACAATTCCAAAACCAAAAATCTTGAACATAAAATGGGTAGGAGATGCCTTGACCTTGTATGGGATCGGGGTTATCATAGGGCACCGATGGTCATGTTTCCGCCTGTGCTCAGGTTGGACAGAAGCAGACAAGTACGGCGAGAAGGACGGGATCACGTGGGCTGAGACAGCCGCCACTTGTCTTGGGTTCATCATGCTGAAATCAATTTACAAGGTTGAAAGCAAACAGTTTCTGATCGTGACTGACAATACAGT